CCCCAAAACCCCAAAACCCCAAAACCCCAAAACCCCAAAACCCCAAAACCCCAAAACCCCAGACCATTAGTATGATATTGAATCAAAAATAGTCGTTTTCTGACATATTTCTAATTTGATAGGTCATTTAAGAGCTTGATTAATACTCAGCAAATTTATACTCGAGATTAAATTTGATATCTCAAATTCCTAAATCATCTTTCATGTTTGAAACGAATAGATCTAAAACTTCACATTCCTTGCCACTGTAAGTGAACTCTTCAAGCTTCTTTAAGAGTTTGGGATATGACATCCACTTAAGAACCAAATAAAATATCTCATGGGTTTGTAAAATTTCATCTTCTTTTTTATCAATGCAAGAGAAAACACGTAGCGACTTGAGGCAATATTTCTCCTTTTGCCTATGCTTTATTTTAAAGGTATCGAGCATACAGTCTTCCAAGTCCACAGATTGTCATTGTGAGATATTGGCAAACAGAACTGAGAGTTGATTTGATGTAAAAGAAAGTCTATTCATACTCAATTTTTTTACACTTTTTTGAACTACTCTGATAATCGGAGGAAAGAGTCACTTAATGTCAAAGAATTTGCCTTTAAAATATGATAGCTTTCTGATTTGCAGTCTTTCCGGCTTAAAGGAAGTAAATTTATCTGCAAGTGTTCTCTGATCCAATAAAGTTGTCTTTCTCCTAATAAAAACTATTAGATTTAATTTGCTCTTGGTGGTGCTGTTTTTGTTGATGTAATAGTTAAAGTTTTTGTTAAAGACTCTTGTAAATTCTTCTTTTTGTCCATAATTAACTATCTTTAGGAAATAGCTTCTACTCTGCTTAGATCTGGATAAATAACCTGACTCAGCCCTTTCAGTGGAGTCAAAGGCCAGTGCTTTCTCTGCCTTCAGGATCTGTAGTTGCTTCTTGCGATAACTTTTCATGTGAGATGGGAATATAGTTGGGATAATTTATTTTAAGGGGTTTAGTTGAAGGTAGGGGTTTTGGGGTTTTGGGGTTTTGGGGTTTTGGGG